ATACTGTTCAGTGCTTTGCCAGCCTAGCATGTGCTCGCAGCTCCATATGCTCTCAGTGTAGTCTGACCTTTTTTGTGTGCCTCTAAGTGCACTTTTTGTGTGCAGCGAAGTGTGATGAAACAGTTCTCATCTTCTGATTTGTAACATAAATGTGGTTCTTTCTAATCATCTGTGTGCCTGAATTACCGGGTGTGAGGCAGTATCCTGTGTATTTTGTTGCTTTATGCAAGGCAATTCCTACTGCTTTTAGTTCAACCTGTTTGTACAGAACTTTGCTTGGACCTTAAAAAGGACAAAAAAGTGTTCTTGCAAACCATTCACAAATTACCAGCTGATGATCATGAGATCAAACTAACCCAAGATAAAAATAAAATGTAGTTAAATAAGTCATTCATGTCTTGAAACAAAGCTGTAATTCAGTTTTTTACCATTCTTCTGGGAGTAATGTAGCATTTTAGTCATGACGAAATGAGGGCAGTTCAGCTGAGAAGTGCATGGCTGGAAGCTTCTTCCTTCATTATTATTCCCTGTTGATGGTTTGGAAAAAAATCAGAACTAAGGGGAACAATTCGAGGTGCATGTCTTTCTACAGTGTGCGTGTATATATGTGTATCTTACATGTTGAATGGATGGGAGGGCATAAAAGGACTTTATCTGTAATTGCAAGTGCTGTATCAGCCACTGAATTCTCTTACTGTTTCCTAGCTGTTAGAAGCAGTTATAGTTCAAGTCTGGACTACACGACTTGTCAGACTATAGCAGAGATGACAATTTAATCTCTTAATCCTTCTTGCTCTTTAGACTTTCTCAGAAGAAACCTGAGAAGAAATCCATCCCCATAGTGGTGGCTTTCTCCTGTTATGGCGGACTAAATGCTTCTGCTATAGCTGCCTCCAGGTAGGCTCCTCTGTCATCCTCCGCATACCCTTATGAATGCTCCATTCTCTCCCCTGTTGCCAGCTCATTTGTTTTTATAAATGCACTTCACTACTCCCAGAAGTAGTGGTAGTTAAAGTGGAATTGGTCAGGTGCTCAGTTCAGAGCCCAGGTCTAGCTCATTTGTGGAGGATCCATGATTGCGGTTTTATCAGAAAGCAGCCACTAACTCTTCTCTCTCCCTGTTTTGGTTTTTGGGTTTGTTTTTTTTTTTTGCCTCTTGGTACAGTGCACGTGGTGTATGTGCTTGATTGCTTTTTGTACTTTTCTCTGCCCTTTCTTATGCAAAATAACCTTCTGACATATGCGCACAGTTGAATGCTTATTGTGGCCACTTTTACTTACACTTCAGTAACGCTTTCTGCAAGAAACACTGTAGAGATCTTTGGTTTTGTCATTGTTCACAAGAGAGTATAGCTCAGCTTTGGAGAAGGCATTTCTTGGCATCTGTTAAAATGAGAGTGTTGAAGGATTTATAAATGTGTATTCTGAAGTCTAAAAGTGTGTTTATTGTCTGAGTAGTAATACGTGAACATGACTGATTTTTATGTTAGAAGTGAGGGTGAAACCCTATCAGAAAACACCTGTGTAAAGGCAGGTTAAGCTAGTTAATATCACTAGAAAGTTTAGACAGACTCCAGGTACCTTTCAACTTTGTTTTGCTGAAAGATCCTTTTGCAGGCAGATCTACTTGGCAAACCAAGCCGAACTTTCTAGATCATCCTCAATTAAAATACTTTTTTGCCTTACCTCACTTAGGGAAAAGTTAAGCTCTTGAAGTTAATGCTCCACCCTTTGGTCTCTCAGGAATCACAACTGCGACATTAGAAAATACATTGAAAACGACAGTTTGGCAAAGGCTGTCACTAGGTTATTCTCTCTATCAAAGAGGCTGACTTGTACAGATCGAGGGATGTTAATTATTTGACTTTAAGCTGGATCATCAGGTGTTATATGTAGTATAGCTTGCATCCAGAATACATTGAATCTATAACGTCTTGATCTGTGTATAATTTGTGGCAGTGATAGCATAGCTTTGCCTTAACTCTTTGTGGTTTTTACCGCTTATATGAGCAATTGCCGTTTTCCAGGATGTGTGAAACAACATTAGCATATCTTAGAAAGATTTGGTATACATTATAGGATGGAAACAGCCTTTGAGTTAGTCCCACATCTGGCATTCCACACTGGCCCATTACTAGATGTTTCAAAAGGAAATGGGAAATGCTTGCAAAGAACAAATGCCAACCTGGGGCTTGGGGGAAAAAACTTCTCCAAATTACATATTAGGTAACTTGCATCCTGCAGCATAAGATTATATTCATATGTTTTCTCTCTCCTCTTTAACTTTAGCTGTTAATATTACTTATCTAAATGCTTATCCTTTAGACAACCTTACTAAACATCTTAATTCTCTAACATCTTGTTGAGTGAGTTCTGTATCTTAGATTTGCATATTAAAAAAAAATCCTCTAGCAGTTTTAAGTTTGGTGTCTAGTAATTTCACGTGCTTTTTGGCTTTGGAAATCAGCGGTCCAGGTTTAAATCATCCTTTAAAATATTGCAACAATTATTGCCTGTTAGATTTTTCATCTTGTCCTCTTTCTTAACTTGTTCTGGAGAAGTTGTCTTGATTCATTCACTGGATCATTATGAATTACATTCTGCTTTGGGAGACCAGGTTTCTCAGAGCTGCATTTAGATCCAGTAAGGACCTGAGAGAAGCACTGTGTGTTCTGCAATTATTTATTCTTGGGCAGCAGAAATCTTTCATATACAATACTGTAAATTAGTTGCTTGTTCAGTTTCAGTTGACTGAAAATGGGTACTCCATGGTATACAGAACACATTTCTTATGGCATGGTCTTTAGTGAAATTGATATTCTGATTTCAGCATGATAGAATTCATACATGGATTAGTTATATTATGTTAATTTTTGTAATTTCTGTGGGAATCTGTGTGTGTGCATTTTTCCACCCATGTTGAAGCTCCATTTTGAGGGAAGCTATAGTAATATGTATAAACTAAGAGAACTCAGGAAGAGAGGTGCTTTAGTAAGAATCAGGGTGACTAACACAGTTGATGCATTGACTTTGAACCTTTTGGCAAGGTTCCCATTGAAGTGATTATATGCTTTTGCATTGTCCCTTAGCAGCAGGAAATCCTATCTGCCTTTGCTGAGGCTCAACTAAATACACAAAAAGATGGAATGAATTTTGCTTTTTAGTGTAGATGATGGTTTACAGCTAAGCAGAGTTGGATTCTGAACCTTAACCTGGATAACATGCTGAAAAAAGCACTTTGTCAACCCAGACAAAGAACAGGAAACTTTTTACTGACATAAGCCAAAGCTTGGCCAGTTATTTTTCTGCATTTTATGGTTTAAAGATTGATGTTATATGCAGGGTTTTGTCTCATGAAAATCAGTATTTCATTTCACACACACATAAAATAAATTATATTAAGTCATTTAGGCTTTTTTGACCTACAAAAACCATCCATAAAATAGATCATAATGAACTGCTTTTGGTTATCTTGTTCCTGGAGTAATTAAATGAAGATTTGACCATTGTTAAATCCAGATAGCTTTATATGCTACAAACAAAGGCTGGTTCTGAATGTTAATCCACTTTGACTGAACTTCATTAGTTCATAAATGATGAAGACCAATAGTTTAAAGGGGACGTCGGGGGGGGGATGTTTCAAAATACTAAAGTATTAAAAAGTTAAGAAAATTTTAGTAATAGAAAAGACAGACCTGCAGAAAACTGAACTAATATATATGATTTTTGTGTCTGAGGATATTGAAATTGATAAAGCAAGAGAGCACTAAGAAGGTGATTAGGGAAAGGTTCATAAAAAGGTTTAGATTACTGCCACCTGCTGAGATGTAAAAAGTTCTGATACCCACAAAACCCTTGGGGTTTGCTTGAATACCACTTATATGTAAGTGGTACATACAGCTTTTTTTTTCTATAAACAGTGATTTCATGCTGTCTAATGTAGACATGATACTTTTGCTACCATGACTGTTAGTTTGCTTCAGTAAAAAAGAAATCATAAGAGTAATTTAGCTATCAGTAGGTAGAATTGGGATAGGAGGGCTTCCACCCATGTCCTCTGAACACAGCATGAGCCATTTTCTGCTTAACTTCAAACATGCTGATGTTCAGACACGTACAGTGCTTATACCGAGATGGGATTTAGAATAGCTGTCAGTCTTCATGTGTTAAATTTCTTGACTTTTCAAACATTTTGTCTGATATTCTCTCTCTGTTTTTTCTCCATCCGGGAGGCTGGACAGAATTGACCAGGACAATATCTTGAAAATTATTAATAATTTTCATTGTACGTCCCAAATCACTGGCAATTGATGACTCTTACCACTTGCTGTGAAACTTTGATGTTCCTGGCTTCTTGGTTTCAGAGCTCTGTCATGTGAAGTCACCACAGTTGGCCTGCAGTTGTCTAGCAGCATTAACAAATGACTGCTAATTACATTCTTGCTCTGCCATTTGCCATGTTGTGCGAGTAGAGCCCAGAGGCCCTGCTGGTGGAGGTAAAGAAAAAGAAGAGGTTGCCTGGGAAATTGAAAAAGAAGGAAAATAAAATAGATTCATAGAATAGTGTATATAAAACAGTAGGTGTGATGGTTGCTGTGTTTATAATCTGCAGTATGGCACTTCCTTTTTTGGATATGCAATTATATTTTTGTCCGTTATTCTCTGTAGTCACTATGTTACACTTGAGTTCTGTAGTTTAGTCAGATAATAAAATATATTAGGATTGGTGAGAAAATTCTAAAACCATTTTGTTTTCCTTTGAGCATTATTTTTGAGAGCAGAAAATGTGAGTTCAGGTGCTTGGCTAAAGAATTTTGTGCTTATTTAGAATCCATAAATTAATGAAAAAGCTATGTGCTTCTTCGTGCTGCATTATGGAATGTCCTTACTATACTACTATTTTTCCATACAAACTTCTTACAAAAGCGTTAATGTCATTGTTTTAATTATGGTGCTTTGCAGATATGTTCATGTTTCCTTTTTCTTTCCCCTTTCGTTAGACATTTGCTGATCAGGTATTTGGTATCTTCAGCTGGACAATTCCCATTGCGGTAGCCTTTTCTTGTTTTGGTGGACTTAATGCTTCAATTCTAGCATCATCAAGGTAGTGCATATCTCTTTCTCTTTCACAAATGTTCCTGAGTATTTTTACATGTGACCGTTATGCTCATCTGTTCTGACAATGGCAAAAATACTCTTGTAACCAAATCTATAATGAATAGCCACAATAAAATACCAGACCTAAGTAAACCCTACATGTGTGTACATACACCCTTAACACTACTTTACTTCCCCGAAGTGTTCCTAGCTGTATGCAGAGTGCAGTTAAAGATCAAATGAACATTGGTCTGTGTGGTGAGTCCTCAGGCGTTCTGATTATTTAGATTATCTTCCATTTTACTTGATGCAATAATTTTAGCAAGCTCCTGTTTTCAAATGTATTTACTTAAAACTTACTGACTTTTAAAAAAATCTTAGTATCTTTTTCTCCTTAAAAGTTGCTACTGCTATTAAGCTGCAGTCAAAAAGCTTAGGATACAGTATAGAAGCTTTTCATCTGAGCACTGATTATGAATGTGACTAGTGAAAGTTTTAACTAGATTTATTCAGGCATTTTAACATCCTTCCTGTCCATTGAATGTATGTGCAATGCCTCTGTACTGAGAACAAATATGAACATGATCTGGTGAAGTAGTCAATATAGAACAATTTGGAATTGATAATAAAATGATGTGTGCTTGTTTTTTGACTATGTGTTTGGGTGAACTCTTTTAGACACCTGGACATCTCTTCTGGTTGGCATTGAAAACTGTTCTGCTATAAGCTGGAATGTTTTCAGCTTTAGCTTTTAGAATTTTTTAAAATAGCAGAAATTTATTTCAGTTACTGTAGATGTTTTCTATTTTACCTGTAGGATTGTTTTTTAAAAATGGGTGTTAACAGCATGTTTCTAAAAGCTTATATATCTTTTAATGGTGGTTGTACAGTACATCTTTACAAGAAGGCTTGAATCCATGTTCCAGTTTAAAGGATGGAAATTAAGTGGTGTAAATACTTATTTTGACTGGTATTGTTTGATTTTCTGTAATACATTCTCTCACACTTATGGCCTTATGGCCTCAACTTTTTTTTTTTTTTTTAGGCTATTTTTTGTAGGATCTCGAGAAGGTCACCTTCCTGATCTGTTGTCTATGATCCACATAGGGAGGTTCACACCCGTGCCAGCACTGCTCTTCAATGTAAGTTGTTACTGCTTTTCTTTTCAGCCATTCAGATGTGACTATATGAATTAGTTAAAGGAAATCTTTAAAAGATCATGAGAACTTCAGATTTACTGTCATAGAGGTGATTCCTGAGAGTGATTTTTGAGCCATAAAATCATGCCAAACACCAAGGAGTGAGTATGAAGTGTTGCTTTCAGGCAAAAAGCAGTATAAACAGTAAGTTTCAAACTTTTGTGTTCATCTCAATCTTGTTCTTTTCTGACAGTGTGCTATGACCCTTATTTACCTGGCTGTGGAAGATGTCTTCAAACTTATTAATTACTTCAGTTTCAGTTACTGGTTTTTTGTTGGTCTGTCTATTGCTGGGCAATTATATCTACGTTGGAAGGAACCAGATCGACCCAGGCCTCTTAAGGTAATGTTTACTTACTACAGAATTGTTTAAAATCCCTGTCTTCCACGTAATATAAAAGTACTGTCTAAAATCTGGACCATACATGTTATGCCTGAAGGTTACAAACTGATCAGGATGTAGAACACTGCTTCCATTTTATATTGTACCATGAAAGCTAGCTTGTCTGCTAGATAAGAAAAAGTGATTGTTGTAGTAGTATATTCTTTCATTGTATGTTAGTTCAATCAGTATCCCTTCTATCAACTAGAGAATGTGTCAATAAGGCTAACGTAGTCGTTTGCCTTCTTTCTTGGATTAGAAACCTCTACTTAGGAATGCTTAAGTTAATTAATTCTGGCAATGTGGACCACATTTAGCTCTGATGGTGTTTCAGTTCAGTATCTGATCCTCTTATCACCTTGATACTTTACACAAAAAAGTAATTCTTGTTTCCTGTGTTTTATAAAACACTTCATGCTGGTACATAGTTTCTTTCAACACAGCAGAGTTACCGTACTTCATTACTTTTGCAATTTTTAGCAGCAGTTCTGTTCAAGAATTATTCTGCAATTTGCTTACGGTTCCAAATAGATGTGTAAGAGGAAGAGCAGATGATTTAACAAAGTGGAGTTGAGAGGGAAAACTCTGTAACTCTCACCAAAATGTTTGTAACTGTAGACAATGAGTATTTCAATAACATTCTGTTCTGTTTTTTCTGTCTGCAGCTGAGTGTGGCTTTTCCAATAATATTTTGTATATGCACAGTATTTCTGGTGGTAGTGCCACTCTATAGTGACACTATAAATTCATTGATTGGAATTGCCATTGCTTTATCTGGAGTTCCAGTCTTTTTCTTGGGAGTCTATTTACCTGCATCAAGGAGACCTCAGTTTATCAACAAGATTTTAGGTAAGCTTCTTTGTAGATGGAGATTTTATTAGGAAAGAGGAAAATTAAATAAGTGAATCTTCATTTGTTGATGAAAAGGGTTGTGGTCTAAGTAACCAAGTAACCACAGAGCTGCTTGCTCACCAGCACACCCCAGCAGGATGAGGGGGAGAATAGGAAGGGCAAAGGTGAGAAGACTTGTTGGTCAAGATAAAGACAGTTTAGTAAGCGAAGGAAAAAAACCCTGCCGCTGGAAAGGTACTTACCACCTCCCACAAGGAGACCGATGCGCAACCAGTCTCCAAGCAACGGCCACCTTGGAAGACACCCTCCCACTTGCATGCACTTCTTCCTCTGCCCCTGTTTTTATTGCTCAGCATGACATCATACGGCATGGAATATCCCTTTGCCTAGTTTGCGTCAGCTGTTCTGGCCATCTCCCCTCTGAACTTCCTGCCCGTCCCCATCCTGCTGGTTGCAGGGAGGGCAGAGTGGGAGGGGGAAAAAGCCTTGATACTGTGCAAGCACTCTTCAGCAATAGCTAAAACATTGGAGTGTTACCAACCCTGTTTGAGTGACAAATCCAGAACAGAGCACCATGTGGGCTGCTATGAAGAATGTTAACTGCATCCCAGGCAGACCCAGTAAAGGGGTATATTGATTTTATGTATGTGTTTTACAGCCAGATTTTACTGTATATTTAAAAGACCACCCACTTTCTACAGACTTTGTCCTCAGTTTTTCTGCGTTTCTCTTTAATCAAGCACATGAAAAGTCTTTTTCTTAAGCAAAGTTGATGACTATAAAAGGGCTGGACATTCTTGATAATGCAAGCTAACTGTCTTGCTTTACTGAATCACTTGCTTGAAGATGGATAGATTTTATGTCAGTCACAGATGGAATTCTGCCTTGTATTGAATTACTGCAGCTAAATTATACATTTCTCTCCAGCAGTACACTGTTGTCATTGTTACTACGTGAGAAAACCATGATGAGGGATATGGAATGGAAGGTTTATAGCATAATCTTAGAAGGCAACAGGTTGTGGTGCTGCAGCAGATAGTGAATATATAAATAATCTGTAATCATGTCACTTCCCTGTGTGCTATTTGAAGTTCTTGTTTTATTCTGTTATTGTACCAATTTTACACTTTTTAATTATAGAGAAAAAATATTTTACTTCAGTTACTTGGTGGGGTGCCTAGAAGAACACCTTAGGATATAAACAGAACAATTTTAAACATTATTTGTTTAAAGAAATCAAGTGGAAGACACTTTCTGCATGAACTTCTCTCATGTGTTTCCCTTAAAAGAAGTGAGGCAGCATTCTTGACAACTAACTTTCATTAGCCAGATGCACTTTGCATAATTAGAGTTGAGATAGGTGGCTATTCTTCTGATTTATCTTCAAATTTTTTCTGCAGGTACAGTCACACGAAATATGCAGCTGCTCTGTTACTGTGTTTTAACAGAGATGGACGCAAATGAAGAAAAGAAGTTAGAAATCAAATCCAACTAAAATTTCAAAGCCATTACAAGAAACAGGAGGGAGGATAAAGCAATTATGACAACAAAAGGGAAGAGATGGAACTGGAAAGAACGTGAAAACTGTTTCCAGTGGTCTTTCAGAAGCATTGAAAACGTACTTACTTGCAGTTGGATTCCCACTAAGGCATGCCCTCACGTCACCCTCCTAAACTGTGGCATATTTTCAGGGCATGTTTTCATTGGATAATGATTACCTACTCATTTCAGGCACACAAGCTATGCATCAATACTGTTCCTTCTTCAGAATTGGTATTAAAATGGTAAGAGCTAATGGATCAAATCAGATTTCTTCACTGCCTGGTTCTGAAGTAATGCATTTTTAAGTTGGACTGAAAACCACTTTGACTCAAAAGACCAAAAGTCATTTCCAGCTTAATTCTGATGGATGTTTGCATGAAGTGATTTGCTGTGCTATCTCAGTTCTTATCCCAGAAAAAACTGGTCACAACAAAATACCTAATTTGTCATTATTAGCAGAAAAATGAATAAAGTTGTGCTACATTATTTAAAGACCGAACCAACCTTTGTCCCTTAAAGATAAGTATGTTATTCCGTATGCTATGTGGAAATGTGGTATCTGACTGTGGCAAGGATTTAATCAACAAAGAACCTTAGCACCATAGATTTGATTAACATTTGATGATTCTTTCCTGTTAGCTTAACTTCTGACAGGCTTTATGAAACTTCCAAAATTAAAATGTTCTGTTGGAAGCTTGTAGGCATTTGTTTCTGAACCATTTCAGTGCACACACAGTAGCAGTGTTACCTCAGCAGTCAGAAAATCCCCCGTGTAAATTTCAGTGTTTACTAGAAAATGATCATCCAAAACCCTCACAGAACAAGTCATGTTTTTTCTTCTATAGCAGAAGTTCTGTGGCAACAACTATATCTTGAAAGCTAGATAGCAGGCAGAGAAAATAGGAATAAAAGCAGAAATAAAAAGTAGACCAATGATAATTAGTAGTATTTGTAATTCCAAAGCGCTAAGCCTAACATCAGGATGCTTTGATACTGAATTTTGGTGCAGCAAAAGGTTAACATGAAGCCAGGCTGCTTGGGCAGCAGAGTGAGATATACTTCAAAAATACCTGGAATTTTTATCCTTGTTCAGGATGTTTACCTCAGTTGACCTGAGGTTGTCCACATGTGCATTTGTTTTGTGCATGTAAGTTGAACTAAATCTTGTAATCACAAGAATATGGCTAAAGCAATGCACACTTCAAATGCTGCACCACATTTACATCAGACACTTGAATAATGGTAAGAATATTTAGGAATTCAGCACAAGAATCCAAACTAAAGTTATGATCTTAAACAAAAAGCTACAGCTAATGGCATGTGGTAGATCATGAAAACTAACATAAGATGGAGTCTTGGGCTACCTTTGTGAAGCAGCATTGGGATTTAAGATGATAGTTAAATTTTAACTGAGGACCAACTCTTTAGTCTTTCATATGATTAGAATGAATTTAGTATCTAAGTTGAGACATCTGTCCATTGGGCAGCATAGCTTTAACAAGCTCAGGTCATGGCATAGGTTAACAGCCATATCAATCTTTCTGTGAAACGAAAGAAAAAAGTAGTTTGTCCCCACTACCTTGACCTAAAGTCACTGCAACCTACAGCTCACGACTGACATAAATCTAACACCCTATTAGCTATTTAGTAGGAGAGTGCTAAATACTTTGTGTGTCCACTCAGGTAAGATTAAATTGTTTTAAAGATGAATGCAAGTTAAAATGCTGACATGGCTTCAGCTGTACCAACTCCTATGATCTTTACATGAGTAAAGAAAACTTAGAAAAAATTCTTTATTTACAATTTAAATGCACATATATTGTTTTGCTCTACTAGTAAAGTTACTGGAGAGAAATCCAGCAATAACATGGACAGGTCAAACACATGTAAAGAAGGTAACTTGAAACTTAGGAACAAATTCAGTAGAAAGCACTAGGACACAGTGCCTTTTTCCAGGACTTCCACTTGCCATCGTGGCAGACATGTTCATCTTCCTGTGAAACCTGATACATTAGTCATGACAAGAAGGGCTGCTGCCAACAGTGCCTCCATATATAATGTGGAGGTAGTGTCTGTACAGGTACAAATGTTTGGGCATGCAGCTTTGGGAAAAAAAAACAACTTCAGAACCTCAGCATCACAGCATAGGCAGAAAAATCTACTTTAAAGCATAGGGTATCTTTTTCTTGGAATGAAAATTTGTATTGTCAAGTGGCATGTTTACACCCATCTGTTTAATACCTGGCTGCTCAGATAGCAACAGCTCAGGTTGTAAAAGGTTTTAGCATTTACTGGAATCCTAATCTCGTATCTAATACTCAAGCCTAGGCAGTAAGCATTAGGGTGAACTGTGCTACTCATCACCAGTTTTAAAGGTGAGACATGCAAAAATTTAGCTTAAAGCTCATCCATGTAAAGATTGGTTTCCTACTGTTCCAATGAGCACAACTTCTACTGGAATGTGGTTTTTCCATTTATTTTTTTTTGTTTTCAAAATTCTTATGAGTAGCCATCAGCAGCGCTCTAGATTTTCAGTTCTACTGCAACAGCAGAATTGCATCTTCAGTATGCATTTCACCTTCAAAAGAGGGCTGTTAGTCAGAATCCAAATCCTGGATCTCATCATATCCAAATTCCTGTAGAACCTCTTGTCGGTATTTGTTCCATGTTCTTCTCCTATAACATTGGTCCTCATCACTGAAGCTCTCCTCAGACTCTGAAGAAAAAGCACCAATACTTTCAGTTAAGCAGACTATTGTAAGCTGCTTGAGTAACACACAATAACAAATATAAAGTCTGAACAACTTCTGTATTAGAGGAAGTCTGAATTGTACTTGGATGCACAATTCAAGCACTGGGATGGGGAGTTAAGAAAGCAAAGACAGGGTTTCACAAGCATGTGGAACCAAGTCATCTATCCCTTCTCAAAACAGTCTTCTGCAAGTGCAGCAGCCTGGAATTCTTAGTGTTTTGGCAAAGTCAAAATTAAGATCCCTTGTACTTCCAAGAGACTCTTCCCTAAGGACATTCAACCCATTATAAGAGAACACTACCACAGCAGTACTCAGTTGCTTTTTTTTTTTTTTAGAGCTAGCATTTAAAAATGGATGGGATTCATATGTGCACAGCATTAAAGAAAACAGTATTTATGACAGGCATACCTTTTTCTCCATCACCATCTTCCTCAGGTAAGAATTCATCTTCGTCAGGATAATCATTACGCCAGTTATTTTCATCATTTTCATCATCTTCATCTTCATATATTTCCCCTGAAAGATGATCATCATCTACCTGCATGTCAACACAAAACATAACATTCACTATAAACACAGTCACTTGGCATTAAGCAGACTTTCATCCACCTATATGATACTATATGGATCATGAAGAGTCAAGAGATACTTAATGTACTGCAAGCATAAGTTATTCAACAGTTGCACAAAGCACACTGTATAAAAATTCACGTTGTCGGTATATTCACCATAGCACAGCAATCTGCTTCAGGTGAAAAAATGAATTAAGTCACACATTTAGATGTCAAGGTTAATGTCTAAATTAATCCTGCTCACTTCAGCAATAGTGTAATAGATGAAGGAACAGAAAAAGTAGCTTCAGGTTCCCGATATGCAAGTCACAGTATCTATCCAATGAAAGACTAAAGTTTACATTTGACTTCCTAACTCCATAGTCACTGAAGGACAATTCTATTGCAAGAAAGTCTCTCGTGTTACGATTAAAGCCAAGTCCTCAAATGTTGAAAATGTTTTATATGTCCCCCTTGCTCCTTTTTATTTTTACCCAACTGTATTTACAACTGCCTCCTAGTCACAAATGAGATGTGAATAACTTATGTTTACATTTGTGTGCCAAAATTTATTTGGCAATTTGAAGCCAGACAAATTCTTCTGAATACATGAGCATTATCCCTTCAATTTTCATTGTTGTATCATAATTTGCTTGAATCAACAGTAACCTGGAAGAACACAGGACTGGTAGTTACAAAAAGCTTAACACAGAAGTCACTAAGCACACGTGTGGTATCTCAAAGGATTCTTCACGGCATGGCAACTTCTAATGATAGGATTTTAAGCATGTTTATTTGTGACCTTTCTATCAAAGAAAATCTGTTTTCCCACATCCTTACCAGTTCATATTCTTCTCTGTAGGGCTGTACGGAAAGGATATTCTGGATCCAACCAGGGGCTGATGTTTCCATATAGTAGATGTCATAAACATACTCATCTTCTTTCTCATGGTGTTCACTTTTACCTTCTTCAGACACATTTAAACGCTCACGGATCATCTCTACTGCATTGCAGAGAATCACATCTGGATCAGTCTTCTGCTGAGAAAAAATTAAAAAGAAGTGCATACTTCCCCTGAAGCCACACGCACAAAGTCTTAGTTACAGCCAACAGTTTTCTTTGTAGACTGTAGCCAACAGCTAGCCAAGTATGACATTCTGAAATCTTAGACCCAAACATTTTCCCATCTGAACGCAGATAATTGGATTATTAGCAACCTAGAACAGAAAGACACCGAAGAATTTTCCAGTTAACTTAGTACAGCCAGCCATGCCTTATTTCAGGTAACAGCAGAAAACTTCTGGGCCAAGTTAATTAGAAACTACTGAAGGGGTATCACTAGTCCTATAGAACTGTTCATCTATGCCAATAGAACTGTTAATCTGTTTCTGATGACATGTTGGTTGAAAAGACAAGTTTGAAGACAGCCTGTGCTTTCTAGAGCGTTACACTTGCAACACTGCAGGGAAGATGTGCATACAGTAGTGTGGGTTAACATGCAAGCAGATTACAGTATACAAAGTATGCAGCAGAAACAAACCATCACATTAACAGGAAAAGGCTGACAGGCCCTACAGATAACACTTTTTATTCCCTCACTTCAACATTAATGCAGAAGGAATGTCTTCGCGCTTTCTCCTTCCTAACA